ACAAGTGGGTCCATCACACTGCCCAGAGTCCATCTTTATTTCCCTAATGAGCTTTTCCTACTCTTTTCTGAACCAGATGAAATCTATTCCCTTCATTTTCTACATTTTCCACTCTGCAGAATATTTAATCACCTACATCACTGAGGAAATAGTCGTCATTAGAGAATTTAAACTGCTTTCCTTTACTAAACCCATACTAAAGCTTGACCCCTGCTTTCCTGCTCTTCCGTAAAGCAGAAGAGATGTCATTGCTCTTATTTAAAATTCATTGCCCTAGCCCATATGCTGGGTCCCATTTATGCTAACATTTTAATGGCCCTTTTTATACCTTATACTTATAGATTTTCTACTTTCCTTCTTTACTGGTTCTTCAAAGCAGCAGCATCCTCAAAGAGTCTCTACAATCTTAAAAATATGGAAAACATTTTTATTTTTCTTTAGTGCTTCCTCACTTTCCACTCGTTTTTGACCCCTTGTAGTTTGTGGAACAAGCTTAGCATGCATCAAAGGCATTGTGTGTACTGTGGACAACAGTGGCTTCTGAACTGATTACAATGACGGGCATATTTCAACCCTCACATTACCTCCCTGAAGCAGTTGTCATTGTTTGTCCTTTTCTGGTTCATTATTTTTTGCTTTGCTCTGTTCTGGTTTTAGTTTTTATTATAGAAGATTTCAAATATATTCAGAAATAGAATAGTATCAGTCACCCAGCATCAGTAATTATCAATACATGGACAATCTTATTCATTCATACTCACAAGTTCTCCTCTTCCTAAACAGCTTGTTTTGAGCAAATTCCTGGCATCACAGTATTTCCTGTAAACATTTCAATATGCATCTCTAAAAAGTAAAACCACTTAAAATGCTCACAGCATCATTATCATACCTAAAAATAGTAATTCACAAATATCATCAAATGTGTAGTCAGTATTTACATTTCTTCACTGGCCTTCCAAACTTTTTAAATTGGTTGATTTAAATTGGTTGAATCAAGATCTACATAAGCCCCATATTTTAAGATTGGTTGAAATGTCTCAAGTTTTACTTTGTTCTATTTTGTCTTGCTATGTAGTTTCTGCTTCCATTTGATTTTTTGTTTTTTGTTTTTGTTTTGTTTTGTTTTGTTTTTTTAGTTTTATAAAAACACAAAATCTGTTGTCCCAGATTTTCCCTTAGTCTGGATTTGGTTGATTGCATACCTGTGGTGTTTCTTAGCATTTGGCAGCTGTGTCTCCTATTGACTTCAAATTTAAAGATTCAGGTATGATTTTGTGGACAAAACTACTCTAAAGGTCTACTTCCATCATTATGAAGACTTTTTCATCTTTTGCCAGCAGTATAAACCACTGTTAAGGCTTGTGTCTAGGTGTCCCCTAAAAGCCTCGTGTAGTCATAGGAGGGGCTTTTCAAGAGGTGGCTGAATCTAGAGTGTGTGACTGATTCATAGTGCATTGCTATGATTAAGAGTGTGAGTGCTATTTCCCCTAAGGGTAGGTACCTGAATACAGCATAAAGGACAGAAAGAAGCTTGCTGCTAGTTGCTTATGGTGTGTCCCTTCCTTGCATTGCTACCTTCTGCCTACCATGAATCGTTTCTCCTCTGTAACACCTGTCTGTATTACCACCTTGCTTTGGAGCCAGCCACCTATGAACTGAAAACCTCTATAAACTGTGTGCTAAATAAGCCTTTCTTCTAACTTTGGGTTTCAGGCATTTTATCTCAGTAACGAGAAAAGTAACTAAGACAACCATGATCATTGTTTAAACCATTAGGGGTGGCAGGATGATGATATTCAAATTTTATCATATCTATTTCCTATGTTAGCTGGAATACTTTCATAAAGAAAAACTTACTCTTATCAACTATTTAGTAATTTTAAGAAAAGTCAGAAAAGATCAGATTCTTTCTTTTACTTGTTGGTTTTCAAGATAATGAGCTGGTTTGCCTAATATTTTCCAAAGATAATCATTGCAGGTTTTTTGTTTATTTCTTTAGGTATCATTAGGAACTCATTAAGCTACTTCCTTTATTGATGTTCTGGCAAGCAGAATCTTACTCAATTTGGCTTCAAAATCCTTTGAAGAAAACCTTTCTAGTATTTGGTAGTTTTCAGTTATGAAAAATATTTTATACTGGGTACAAAAATTTATACATTTCCTGTTCTAGAGTCAGAATCAGTGATTTCTCTTTAGTAGTTGGTGATTTCCTGTGAGTAGAACCCTCTGAGCTCCAGAACACCAAAACTATTGTATTGGTCATTGTTTCTAGATTTTTTTTTTTGACAAGTAGAATGGTGAATAGTATTGACTTTTGGATTTGAAGACAATACATACACGGGTTCTTACTGATACTTCCAACTCAAATTCAGGTTTACTTGCACAACTGGGACTTAACCTCATAAATTTTATCTCCTTTCAGTCAGGCTGATAATTTCAGTTCTCAATGACACCAACATTGTCATTTAATTTATTTTGTAATGCAAACAGGCAAGACTTCCAGCAATCAGAGTACAGGAAGTAACAAAACTTGTTTTGTATTTTTATTTTTAGTCCTAGATATACATTTCTTTAGAAATCTATATTGAAAGTACAGGGTTTAAAAGTCACTTTAAGCCATTTCTTACTGTAAGATTTTTGCCATCCCAATTAACCATGGTAAGAATGATTTACTTCACTTTACTTTAAATTTTTTAGGAACTAATTTGAAATTTTATTTTATTTTGTTTTATCATAGCATAAAATACTTACACGGTCCAAATAAAATGCAAATGTACAAACAAGGAACGTTCAAACAAACCTCATTATTGTTTCTGCTTCTTTCAGATTCTTGCCTCCCTACTAAATAATGTGTGTGTGGTTTAACCTTTGTTTCTTAAACTATATAAAAATAGTTCTAAACAATTACAGAATACTATTTGTACTTCTTTCCACTTAGCTTATCTAAGTTAAAATATATTCTAGAGATTGTTCCATAATAGTATAGGAAAGCCTTTCTTTAATTTCCTACTTTGATTCACATAATACCTTATCGATAAAGACTTTTGGGTTATTTTTAGCCATACTGCTATTAATTAACCTTTCAGTGACTAGCCTGCATACACCTTTTTTTTTTTTGGCTGGTATGTCTTTGGCATAGATTCCCAGAAATAGGAATTGCTCTGTTAAATCACATAGTATTTTTAAGAATTAATTTTATTGGTACAGTTTTAGGTATACAATATAATGACATTCATCAATGGAAATTTTCACCTCTACATAATCCATCTTGGTTCTTATTTTTTCCCCCTTCCCCTCCCCTCCCTTCAACCCCTCCATCCCTCCCTATCTACAAAGACTTTGTTTCCATTTTTTCTTTTTCATTTACTAATTCAATTCCCTTCTTTCTTTTCCCCTACTCCTCTGACTTCTCCTTCCCTCTGAACCTTTTTTTCCTATTTCATATTATCTATGTTTCAGTCTTTATTTATACTTTGCATTTCTCGCACTAGAAAAACTATTCAGTATTACACATGTGTGTCCTATTTATTTCACTTGAGAGTATCACCTCAGTGTGCTTCCATTTAGCTATAAATGTCTCTAGTTTCTCATTCTTTATGGCTGAGTTGTACTTCATTTTATTAAAAAAACAAAAAACACATCTCTATCCAGTCTCCTGTTGATGGGAAATTGGGCTACTTTCAAATTTTAACTATCATGAATAGCATATAGCAATTTTAAATATTGCCACATTCCTACATAGTGTGCACCATTTTGCATTCCCAATGTTTCAGAATGGCTAGCTTCTTTCAGTCTCATCACAGAGTATTCTGTGAAATTCTTAGATTTTTGTCAACCTGATAGTTAGAAATGAATTTCTCAACTTGGTTTTCATCTGCATTATAACTGAGTTTATACATCTCTCCGTACAGTTAAGATCCAATTCAGTGCTCTTGACACATTCTGCTCCATTAACACCCATGGAGCCACACAAACTTCTATTATTTTTCTTATTCTGTGAGTGATGTTTCAGTCTCCTTTTCTGGTTATGTTTTTCCTGCTTATTTTCTAATATTCCTATCCCTCTTCCTCCAGATTGAGTCTTGATGTTCCTTTAAAAGTCCTTTCCTTAGACTTTTCTTGCTATTATTGCTCTTCTGACTGCTACTAAGTGCATGCCTGCAGCCCAGAGCTCTCTCTTCCTCTATCCCATGGGGAGGTCTTGAAATGCACCTATCCAGGACCTTATCAACATGTGCAAAACTCTTTCCCAACATCCTTTCCCCTAGTATTCTCTAGTGCAGTGAAAGCTACCACAAATCTCCAGCTGCCTAACTCCCTCTCATATTTTACTCTCATCTAATCAACCACCAGTTTCTGTGGCTTTATCTCTTAAGTGGTCCTCAACTCCATCTATTTCTTTCCATACCAAACTACTGGCCTAAGCCATTCTCAGATCTGCCCTGGACTACTGCACTTTTCCTTTTGTTCTCAAACACAATCAGAATTGTATTCCAAATAGAATTTGCAGCCATTTACCAGTTTCAAAATCTCAAGACCTTCAAAAAAATAAACACACACACACACACACACACACACACACACACACACACACACACTAAGACAAACAACTTCAGTCCTAAAGTTTCATTTTCCATAGGTACACATGGAAGTAAATGCTGTAAAGTTCCAGGAGATCAACACTGGACTAATGTATGTGGAGTTAATGTTGGTGAAGAAGGGGTTCTGGTTTATCATTATTCAAACATTAGATTTTTTTAACCATCAAACTGTTTTTTAGTTATTACTTAAAAATTTAAAAATAAATTGGCTGGTTAGACAAAGAAGGTCTTAGCTAGTGCCTGAGCAGATGGAACTCAGCAATGGATTATATAAATCTCCAAGACAATGCATCCTGGATGATCCTTCAAGTTCAGCTGTTCCCTACAACTCCCACAGAGGACAAAGAACAACCCTGTCCCCTTATATTGTACTGGGAATTTGGATCAAGGTATTCTTACCTTTGTGGTCCATAGTTTGACAGTCCAATCAAATGACGACGTGACAAACAAGTGAGAAAAGTCAATTGGACCCACAGCCATGTGGCAGTTAATTCCCGTGACTGGCCCTTGGTGGCCTTCGAAGACCTCACCAATGCCTGCTTTGCTGTGTGAAGAGCACATATGCACAGGGTTTCAGTAGCCTTGACAATGCATTGTAACTTAAAAATATTGTCTCTGCGGGATCACTTTTTCATAAGTTTTAGAACAACTGCACACTACTAAGCAGGAAGCTATTTTCAGCTATTTTCAGAAAAAGAATTTGTCTGAAGTCATGTGGCAGCACTTTGGGTGATTAAAAAGTAGTACAAGGCAGGATCATCTTTTTAATCTTCAGACTTTAATAACACATTTTACCACTTAACACTTTTTCAGGAGTTTCTCAAATCCTATCATTGTTCATGCAGCTATTTCATTCAAATAACTACACTTAGATCTCAGAAGCCTTTGTATTCATAATGTTTCTGTTGTATTCTTAAGATGACATTTTGTACAAGTTGCATTTTAGCTCCTCTTGGGGAGCCTATTGGCTATAAAACACTACCCATCATGAAGAAATAATCATTTATCATGTAAAGGAAATTTCTTACATTAAGTTGACATTTTACATTATCTAAAAAGATAATAATTTGTAAAAACCCTTTATCAACACAAATTAATACACATAATCTAAATACAATATGGAGAAAATTATGTTTTCACTTCAATGAGAAAAGAAGAAAGATTTACAAATACATTTTGTAAATTCCATAAGGGAAGGTATCTTGTCTTGTTGCCCAGTGTCTAGTACACAGCAAGTGCTCAACAAGTATTTGTTGAGTGAAATAGCAAAAAAAAAAGAGACAAAATTATGCAGTCTTTTAAAAACAAAAACATATTAGGGAAATAGTGATACACATTGTAAAAGCTACCCTCAGAAGTATTTCCCTTGTTTCACAAAACTGAGATTATTTCTAGTCCTCTCTTATCACATAATGGTCTACATGCAATCACACAAAATTAGGGAAACAGAAAATATACCCAAAATACTATATTTTACACATGAGTGTAAGAGGTTATAAACATGGCAAATACATAGGGATTGTAGAGCTCAATATTAGGTCATTTAGAGTAAAAATGAATTCAATTACAGTCTGTCCCTTGGAGCACCGATAAATGTCAATGTACTGAGTAAAATTTGGAATCAAGCAAAGTGCTACAGCATGTGTCCCATATAACAGGCACTCAAAAATTATGCCCAGAGAAACTGCGAACAGCAGTTCCACACGTGATCATTTAAATTTGCTCTAATGAACACAAGGAACTGATCTTTGAAGTGGCCCCTGGTGAGACTCTACTTGGCTCTTAACAGCATCCTGAAAGGGGTTATAGGGTGAAAAATGAGGGCCTTGTTTAATTTATGGAAGTGGATTTGCACCTTCTCCATGTTAGGTGAAAAACAGAAATCCCCCACCTCTCCCTTAGAGCTCGCTATGACCCATTTAAAATGACTGCAAAACCAATGCCTGCCACTTTAGGACCTTACTAAGATCTGTATTTTATGTTGCAGATGGATGGGCTCATGTCAAAAGTGAAATCAAGTTCACTGTGAAGAGATTTCTGGTGTGTGCCATGGGGACTTACCCATGTCTAGACAGATCTGTACTCCCACTGTGGCTCACTCCACTCTCTGCACCTCATGTGCACTAATGATACTCTATTCGTGCTACAGAGCTTTGTGCATTTTCTTTCCCACTGTCAGTGTCTTGAAGACAGGAACCTGATTGAAATGACACCCGTGTGACTCATAGCATCTAGCAATGTATCTGCTCAAAGTAGGTGCACCTCAAATGTTTGCACAAATGAATACTTTATCAGATATTATTACACTTTGATAAAAACTTTGTTTTGTTTCAGCCAGGTTTTGTGGTGTACACATTTTGGACATGGAACTGCAAGGTGTATCTTCTTCAGTCATCTTTAAATTATGTGTGCAGGGCAAAGACTGCTTGTTTAGAAACAAGGAGAACTGTAGAAACATCGTGGCCTGTATTATTGGAATGGAAAAGAGTCATGTAGCTTCCCCATGGATGTTGGTTACGTCTAAAATCACAAAAATATAAGGGTATGAACTTGGAACTATTTGTGGTTCTCCCATGAAATCTACATAGCCTGGGATGAATAAAGAGATGGAAAAAATCAATTGAACAAGAACTACAAAGGAAAGAAAAATTAAGCAACAGTGTGAACATAGTGATGCTTTCAAAAGATGTGAGGCCACCTGTAGAGTTTTGCATGTAATTTCGCAGTCCAGTCCAAATGATCAGAATCCTCACTATTTTGACAGTTCTGTTTTCCAGAGGCACCTGCCAACCTCTCAGTCAAGTCAAGGTTCTTACCATCTGGAAACTGCATCATGGTATATCTCATACTATTCTGGCCACTCAAACTGAAAGGGGAGGTATGAAGGAACTTTTTTTTTAGATATTGTCATTTCCTGATTCCCCGTACTGCATAGTTTTTAGGTCTTTATTTAATATGTGGAGGGTTCGGGGCATGGAGTCAAAGATGAAATGTAAATAGTTTAGCAAGAGAAAAATGGTAGATAAATGAATAATTGAAATGTGAGCGAGACCATCGCAGGAGCACATAGAAGAATATATGAAATAGTAGACCTGACACCAGATAGCCCCAAGCTGTTTAATGTACTTTAATTTTTTCTATCACTTATCATTTAAAACTATATATTGACCTGCTTATTAGTCTTTTACCATTAACTAGAGCATGAACTCTATGTCAGTTCTGTTCTCTATTCTTATGATGGTTTCTGAAACAAGAAAGATTCTTAACAAGCATTCCTAGAAAGAATGAGTTAAGAGTGAATAAACAAAAAGGATGAAAAGTCTATAGGACCTAATGGAAGGAGTGGCTTGTTGTTGTTGTTGTTGTTGTTGGTGGTGGTGGTGGTGGTGGTGGTCTGAGAGACTCAGAAAAGCTTCAGCATGAAAAGATGTCTCTGCTGAATCTTTAATAAAGAGGAAGTAGCTAAGCAAAGAAGACAGAAATAGGAGACCAAGTGGCAGAAATTGAAGGTGCAAACTCACAGAGGCATGGGCAGATAGATAGGCAGTGCTCCAGGACGGTGGTCCCTGATGGTCACATGGCTGGAGCTCGAAGGCACGCAGCAGATGAGGCTAAGTGGAGACAGTGCTGTAGGACCTACTAAAAAATGTAGACATTTTCTCTCAAGGCGGGGTGAACCACCAAAAACTCAGAAAAACGTGTGCTTTATGTTAATGAAGCCTTGAAGGTGTGCTTTGCATTTTTTTTTCAGGAATACCTTACTTATAATGCAAGGTGCTTATAATCTAGAATGTGACAACAGACTTCTGGAAATGAGGACTACATCATCAGCGAGAAAACAGAAAAATCACCTTCCATGACGACAGGCTGTGTAGACTGTACCCTCCTCACTGCCGACCACAAAGTTATTGACATCTCCCGTCGGGAAAGCCATTCCAGTAACAGCGACAGGCTTGGACTTATTGTACACCAGCTCCATGCTCTCCTACCAAAACACGGTGTGGTTACATTTCCATCTGTCAACTCTTCTCCATGCCAAAGACAGCATGGAAAAATCATTTGGCTAAATCATCTGTTTGCTTTTCACACAGCGTTACAAAAGACGCTGGCTGTGCCAGAAACCACGCTTTACTGCTCCTGACATTCATGCTGCTGTGTATCTCTGGTTCCAGGCTGGCTGGATTTCATCAGCATGTACTGCTGCTTCCTAAGTCAGGCAAGATGACAGGTGAGAGTTTTGAAACTAATGGTGCAGAAACTAAAGATAATACTGTAATGATTACACTTGTCAGCCCTGGGCTTTAATAAAACACACAATACCCTTGTATTTACAAACATTTTCAAAATCAATTGTTCATGGGAATACACATGTATTACTATCAGATGTACTAAGCACATTTTTCAAGGCAGAACTGTGGGTCCTCCATGGACGGAAACCAGAAAATTGTCACTCAGGTCCTTATAACCAGGTTTTATCTCTAGAAACTAGATTTCATGAAGGGTATGGGTATATGGGATATTAGCTTGCAAAGAATGAGGTTTAATGGTTTAACACAGTAAATGAGAGTCCTTTGTTTTATATAAAACAACTTTTTAAAATTGGGGACTAGAGAGTATTTTAAAAGAAATACTGGTGTCAGTTTATTGACAGTGAAGAATCCTTAAACATAAGCAAGTCTGAGTATTTTTGGCTATTTATATCAAACAGCCTATTTCGCTTATCTGAAATAACTTTGAAAAACTGTTCTGGGGTATCATTTTATTGCAGTTGTTTGAAAGTGTACTCTTTCCTACACAAACCTTGGCCAAGGAGTCCATAATTGGAAAACGTTACGGTGCCAGGATGGGCTGCAAAGACCACGTGGCTACCTGCCCCATCTCTAAAGTTAGAAGCAACTTCCACTGGGCAGAGAAAGACAGGAGGGCGGCTATGGGGTTCCCAGCTCCTCCAGGCGATCACAGATGGAGGCCATGCCACAAACTGTCTCTGTGCAAAGAACAGGCATCTGTGGGCATCTCAACATTAATAAAAACAATCTTGGACTCTGTGTACCACTGGTTTTAACCTAAACAAATACATGTTTAATCAGCAAAATGGCCAATTAAAAATTCCTACATGGAAGGGCTGCTCTTATATCTGTTTATAATCTTCATGCTTTTTAAAAGCAAACAACACACGGCTGAAAATTTTAAGACAAAACCATAAAATGCCCACACTCGATTCCAGATCTGTATAATGTCAAAAATCACCAAAAACAAAGGAATTTAAGTGGTAAGCAGTTTATTAACACTATTCTTTGTTCTTCTAAAATGATGTAAATAACTTAATTAGTTTTAGTATTCTCTACATTTTGCAGAAATTTAAAGAACTTCTTTATCACCCCCATATTTCCTTATGTATTTTAATGTCTTCTTAAACAGAGCGAGAATCGGTCTAGAGTTGTTATCCCAGGAAAAAGAGCAGGAGTGTTAAAGTCAAGAATTATCTCCTAGATAACGTTTCATAAGTCTTTGGATGCTTTCTCACATTTTTGTCAAAGAATTCTTCATGGTTTTTAGTTGAAGGGTAGAGAAGTACCTGCTTACACACAAAGAAATGTAAAAAAGTGTGTGGTTTTGCGCATGCTGTTGTGTCTGTGTGTGCACGGGATACACACATCTTAAAAGTTGACGCTCCTTGCCATCTGCTCTTGGTTTGGTTTCCATCACTGCAATCAGTAGTGGTTTAGAAATGTTGGAACTTTTTCATTTTTCAACTTGTCATTTGTTGAGCAAGAAATGGCAAGAGCCATATTAACAAACATTCCAGAGGGAAAAACAGATACTCTGACAAATCCTTCATGCACACAACAATTGTCTAGGGTATGGATACAAGCAACGGCTTGGATTTCTATTTTGTTAGGATACCTTTCCTTCAAGCAAGAATGCATGAGGGATTGCTTTGCTGAGGTTCAACCTCATTTGTATTTGTTTCACAATACAATTCCTACCACAGGCAACGTCACTAATTACTGTGCTTTAAAGTGGATTATTTCATTATCACTTGAAACTGACCTAAGGATTAATGTATTATAATAATTACATGATTTGTGGCATAGGAAATGAGTTTTGGCTTCAAGAGGAGACTGCTAAAACCGGGCTCCACTCTTTCAAGGGATCCATTGGTTTACGCTTCATTAGGATTGGGAGGGTTTGGCTATCACCTATGTTCCCCAATAGGAGTCTCTTTGTAGCAGGATGCCCTTACCTGTGGAGTTGAGAGCATGTCCAGGCTCCAGGAGCACATTTTCCCATCAGTGGAGACAGTGATGAGGTTATGAGCATTCTGGGTCCCAATGACATTGACACAGTACACTGGGTGCTACAGGAACATCAACGGGAAGGGTCAGGTGCAGCTCCAAAAGGAAATTATCATATCTGGTGTCAAAATCATGACTCTAAAACAAGGCTTACAGAGGATGTAATCTTACTAGAACACATGCCTTACTTAGTTCATTTGTCACTTTTGATTTGAACCGATGTTTTCCCTCAACACTCTGGTTGCAACACATAGTAGCAGAAATAATTACAAACCCCAACCTTGTTAGGTCAAAAGAAATGCAACAGAAGGTAAGGGAGGCTGAGGGTGGATGGGGCAGAAGGAAGCCACAGAGGTGAATCTGGATGACGTAAGTCCCTAACCACACAGTTTAGCTTCTAAATTCTACGTGAGTGATGAGAAAAGACTGTCTTCCAAGAGTGGCCCCAAGGACCGCTGGTAGAATATGTGTTCCTAAATTTAGAGTTTAATGCCTTATAGTCACAGTCCCTAATATTTGTTAGCAGTTTTTTAAAAGTGGTTAATAGTCACCTGGCTTTTTAATTGAGGCAAATATATTGGTGGTGTGATTACTGGCACAATGTACCTAGTGAAAGAAAATTAAGTTCTCTTATGATATTACAAAATATGGGATAATGGTAGACTTACTTTTCAAAATACCATCGGAGTAGTATGCCATTCAGATTTGGCCAGAGTCTAGAGAAAGGTCATTTATACATCCTGGAAACCATAAGCAACCTGCTCTATATAGCCTTCTGTCATAACCAGTAGGTTTTCCTATTCTGCAGAATTCTGCATGGTAGGCTAAAATCATTTGCAGCTGCACATTAAACACTAAATGGAAGGTTAGCATAAGCAGAACCTAGCAGCAATTTGGGTTAGATTTTAGGCAACTTACTCATGAGTGGCCAAACCACAACTTACTTGATGCTTCTCTGTGTAAATAGCTAACAGTCTGTTTTACTCTTGATGAGTTACTGTCCATAATACCTAGCCACAACTACAGTGAAACAATCTTTAATATTGGAAAGCTAATATTATATAAAGGATGGTTTCCAGACTATGATTATCATATAAACTCCTGGTCAGAAAAAGTAGTAGTAATGAGCTAGTGGAGCTACTCATCTGCCTCATCTAAGAAGTAGTCCAAACTCTGATTAAACACCTTGCTTAAAGAGTAGCTAGTTTTAGTACTAACTCCTGGAGCAGTTATCCTTCCACTAATGGGAGTTTTTAAAAGTTCATGGAGATGTTTTCAGTGCAGTGCCCTCTGGGATCATATAGATGAAGTCTTTAGCATCCTAGCTATTTGAACTTTTTTCCCGATACTGGGGATTGAACTCAAGTCCTCATACACATTAGGCAAGTACTCTACTGAGATACATCTCCAGACCTTTTTCTTCTTTATTTTGAGACACACTATCACAAAGTCACCAAGTTTCCCAGGTTGTCCTCAAACTAGTAGACCTCCTATCTAGGCCCCCTGAGTATCTGAGATTACAGGTGTTCACTGCCATGCCCACCACAGATTGTTGTTTTACACCCCAGGTCCACAACCACTAAATTTTTTTATCATATACAACATATATCTCATATTTTATATATATCTTATTTCTGATATTATATGTATATTATTTGTATTCATAACAAAACAAAGTAGAAATACTTATAAAAATAAGTCCTCACTTTTATAATGAGGCACTTAATTAAAGCTGATATTTATAACTATTGTCTTGTGTTATTTATTTTGTACTCTGTCTGCCTTCAACAAGTACCTTAAGCAACTTTGTTTCTTTACCTTGCCTTACTTTGACTTATCATTACCAATTCCATCAAATGTTCCATGGGTACCGGATTTTCAAAACTGTCCTATCTTAGTTAATCTCTTTTGAACAAGAATTATTCATGTATGTGTATGTGTGTGTGTATTAGGGATTGAACTTGCTAGGCAAGCACTCCATCATGGAGCTATATTCTCAGTCCATTAATAAACTTTTTAAAAAATTGAATTCCCATAATGGTAAAGTACTGGGAATAAAATAGAATTATCTACTTATATTTTCAACATTTAATATAAAAATCTGGGTAGCACTGACTTACCACTTCTTATGTGATAAACAATATGACTGTAGAAATGAAGATTACAGATGCTTTTCTGACAATTACATCACCTCTTTCACTCATGTTGATAGTTAACTAAGTCCCAATGTCTTTTTAATGTCACATTACTAGAGACACTTTCAAATGAATTGGCCTAAGTGGATCTGCACAATAGTAAGTACAGCAGAGATGTGAAAATAAATGTTATCCTAACCAGATCTCTGCATATCAGAAGGATTGATTGGTTACAGGACTATTGATAAAGCTCTTCACCAAGTCTTTGGTGTTGAAGGCTCTAAAGCAGTATGCGATCAAACTCAAACCCCCAGCCATACAACATGCCAAGCTCTGTGCAGGCATCAAATGGGAGAACAGATGTAACAGATTCTCACCTAAAAATAGAAGACAGTAAAAGTTAAGAATGATATAGAATGAATATTCAAAAAGCTGCATTGTTTTGACTTGACCTGTGTTATCCTAGAAGCCACTGCACTAAATTCAACATTCCTTCTCCCATGAGTGGAAAGCGTGGGGCAAACATTATTGTGTGTCTGAAATCCATCTGGTTGTTTGTTTGTTTGTTTTTTCAGCAAGTGTCCAATAGGGCTTCTCTGTTAATCCAACACAAATATCGAAACTCTCATGGATCAAGACTCCCACGTGTGCAAGGGAGATTGAGGTCAAGTTTGGAAAAATGCATAAAGCCAAAGCCCGGAAAAGGGACATGTGTGCCGCTACCAAGTTTTAATCAGTACTTTTGTGCTATTCTTTCATGAGTAACAAAATGCATATAAGTAGAAAAATAGAGATATATAAAGAAATTCAGCTAGGTAGAGAAGCAGACACATAAGCATAGTCAGGCACCTGCACACACATACAACTCCACCTAATGGGAAGTTGGAAATAAAGCAACGTGCAGCTCATTTTTCCACTACAGATGCCACTTTGTTTTTATTTATTTTAGAAATAAACTTATTGTGTGGCAGAAGAATTTTGTTTTCATTATAATTTCTTATTGTCCCAAATACATATGTGTGGTGGGTGTGAAGGGAAATTGGTGAGTAATCTGTGGTGGGTCCGTTTTTCCTTTTTGATCCTGGCACCAATCAGCCAGACAACAGTGGAAGTTGAAAGATGAACACACAATTAACTGTACACTTTTAGACATGCATTAGACAAAACACAGCAAGGAAAAACAGAAATTTGTTTTTCTTTTATTTTCTAACTGAAATAATGCCACTCAGTATTTTTGTTGTGATGATCACATTCTAAGTTTCTTGGGGGAAAAAAATTAACTCTTTGGAAAAGCTCCCAGATTTGGATTTCTCCCCCAAATCTTATTGCTAAGTGTTCTAACATTTGTATTTATAATCTTTGAAATTTCAGAAAGTATGTTCACAAATGTACCGGACAGGTACACAGAGCCAAGAAATGGTTTCACACTACTTGAGAAAACACCTGCATTGAGCCTTCTTCTCCTGGGCCATGATTTCTGTTATTAGTTTGGAGAAATAGTGGGAGGAGGTAAGAGCAATTACTCACCATTCCCAAGGACTAGTTTCACCAGCATGTGTCTTTGGCCCGCTCAATCAAAATTAGGACTGACTTGGTATTTATCATTTCCCATTGTCAAACTTTTAAGAGCGGAAGAATTTTCCTCCTCATAGTCTTAGCTAAAACAACTAGCAGATCTTTTTCCAGCCAGAATGGCTTTGAGGCCAGGAGATGAAATAAATGAAGCAACCACATTAAGGAAATTGAAAACAATAGGAGAGCCATATCCTGGGGCATAATTTGGACATTTCAGAGAAAGAACATCAGCTACCCTGAACATCAAGGCAGTAGGGATTGACGGAGACATGCCTGTCTTTTCATTCCTCCAAACAACAGCTCCACACGCCTGTCATTCTCTTAAAGGAGAGGGCAGGGCGGTTGTTTTATGAACACTACAGTGAACCTCTTCTACTAAATTATGGGTAATAGTTTTGAGATGTTGACTTTTAACCCTGGGGATTATACTGTCACTGTAGACTTTACCCTGAGACTTACACCACACATTCCTGAATTTAAAGATGTATACTTTCTCAAATCACAAATGGAAACGGTTTGTTGGCAAATGTCTTAATTCACATCTCTAGACACGACATGCTTACTCTTCTAAATGGGAATGAGTTCTTCAAGCAAATAATCCCAGAGGTACCTCTCCCAAAGTTCCTCTCTGTATCCTTTTACAGTTTTGATTCTCTTCCTTTGGGACCTTTTCTACATGCTAGAACTTGCAGATTTGGTCAGTTAGGACATAACCCCTATTAAAAAGATACTTCTCAAATAGCATGATTGGCAAAGCCCATACTGTTGCAGGTTGAGCTGTTTCCCTCCCAGGATTTGGGTGACTGACAGGGATGTGACAACAGTGGGACTTACTGTGTGTGCAGCAGCTGACAAGGGTGTCCTCTGCACAGGTGTCCTTCGATGACTGCGATTGTCCCACAGGACAATCTGGCCTGAGTATGTTCCACCAACCACCAAATTAGGATGAAAACGGGCAAAGCAGACAGACATCACAGAGGACTGTGGGGGAAAAAGAGAGAGAGAGAGAGATGCTCCATGAAATGGCTGTAGAACAGGCCATGGTCTCTTAGTTCTTCCCAAAGGGAAAACAGTTCATCATAAACTCAATACATCCTGGGAAAACACAAAGCAATTGAAAGCTAGGATTGTGAGATGCAGAGTTACTAGGGAACTTTGTACATAAACACAGGACTTTCTCTTGAGAGGTCAGCCAATGGTTTACCCCTTGAAATCCTAAATTTAAAGTCTTGGCCATGTCATCAAATAGGCATAAAACCTATCTTAAGTACATCATTGTTTTGTGGTCTGTCGGACTTGCTTTCTGGACATTTCTCATTTCTCAAATAAAATTGCAAAGGAATTATTATTAGTTCTCCACTGAAATCTTTACAAAGCAATTCTTTCCTTTGAGAGCACGGCCATATCAAGTTATACTTTGTGCTGTGTTGGTAAATGCAGAGAGTCATTACAACTGCAAGGACTTTAAAATGGGGTGTTTTAAATTTTTTCTTTGGCCTAATGTAGACTTCTAGGAAGTATACTGACCTCAGACTGATCCAACTAGGTCCTCCCAAAGTACCTCTATTCCCATGGGCATTCTCTCTGACCTTTATCCTGCCCACTTCAGATAATTCTTAATGCTATCCTTTTCCTACATTAACCAACAGCCTGACATGGCTTTCAATCCAGCTCTGCCATGGTCTGTCATTGCAACACAAATGTGGTTTCTGAAATTCCACAAATGACTACTGGGCTCTGCATTTTGTACGAAATCACTTAGTTGATGTACTTAAAATCCGACAAGTGGTGGACCCTCATCTGCTAAGTCTTTTTTGATTTCTGAAGTACCTTCCATATTTGCATTTTTAAGTTGATTTGTTTTTAATAGACACATTTCATTCTTTCAGTTAAATTCATCACAGAACAGTCACAGAGAACATACGATGGGTAAGAACGGCATTATATGAAAAAAGAAGGGAAGCAGAAGGTAGTTAATGCCCTTAAACAAACTCAGGCTCTGGCAAAGGGAATTGAAAAGACATGTTCAGATGAGCAGAGCCGCTGCTACTCTATACATTGCCTCCGAGTGAAAAAGAAAATGGTGCCACTCAGCGTAGACATAATCATGTGGGCAGCAGTACACTCGGCAAGCGGAGGGAGAAGTGGATCTCCATCCCAACTTGGGGTCATCCTTCTGTAGAACTTGACACCAAAGTAGTAGCTCTGAACGTAAAACACCGCTGACTAAATCACAGGAGCGTGTGTGAGCACAGTGGTATGGGGTAAAAGAGGGAGAAGATGTGCCTAGAAAGACCTGACGGAAGGGGATATGTAACATTTCGAAGTCGTGTGGAACATTCAGCAAGTGGAAAGAACAGAAGGCAGGCATTTCAGAGAGATGAGATAGCAAGAAGTAAGGATGGAAATCGGCACATAAATGACCCACAGTGTGATCTGTCTGGGAAGCAGGTAGCATGGAGGAGGCACCTGGGAAATCAGGCTGTAGAGGAATCCTAAGCAAACAAGTGAAAGTCTTGAATGGCTCTATTTGGAGTTTTTTCTCTAGGCAACAGTGAGAAATCACAACTTTCTGAGCAAACGAGTATGACTATGAGCCAGAAAAATAGTGATTAAAGAATTATGAATTTTCTTTCTGACTGGCAAGCTAATGTCTATTTTTTAAAAACAACAAACAAACAAAAACCCAGAAACAGATCTACTAACACCCTAAGCCTTTTTACTCAGAAACAGTCCGGATCCTCTGAGGTAGACTAAAGAATGCAGACTATTTTTCAATGTCATGTTTTCCTAGTTTGAATGATTTTCAGTTCCAATTCCTTGAACATGATTCGATGGAGAACATACCCGTGCCCCAATCTGGTTTTCATAAAGTTCAAGAATAACTCTCAATAATAACAGTGAATTAAAGAAAAAGAAAATAATGCTGGTCAGCTTCTTGTTTTACACATCCCACAGAAATGATTCTTAGTTTTCAATTGATGAAATTCTTATGTTGCTTGAGCTATGTTGGAAATATTTTTTTAAAAGCTTCAGAAAGACTTAAAATTATCCAGGTGGTATCAACAATTGAATTTACCAAAGGCTCAAGTCAGTATGGATAAAGGAATGTCATTCAACTGGGAAAATTCAGAATTCAACCACTTGATTGTTTCTGCATTTCAGCTAAGTCCTAGCAAATACTCCTCCAAATCTTGCCCAGTTTGTTGAGAGACTAAACTGGAGAAAACAAACAGAAGTACTTCTATGAGACAAGGTGAAAATGGTAATACCTACTTGTTTATTCATTCATCTGTACCATCTTCATTCACTTATCAAACACATACCATGAAGGACTACTGAACCATTTAAACATTTTTCAAATGTCACAAAAGCCCCTCATCTGGAATTCAGAATTCTATTTAAATTTGATAAACAATCAACTGAATGTCAAGAAAAGAGTTAAATCACCTTTGGGCATCAGAGTTCTGCTACCAGAATCTGCTTTGTTTCCCTGAAAACCAGTTTTTATAATATTTTCATGACAAAAAAGAGTAGAGCTATTTTTCATTTTATATTTGGAATATGAAATACAGTTATGCTCATTAACTTCATTTATGTTTTAAATTAAGCAATTAAATATATGCATTATATTTAAATATGTTTAAATATAGATTCTATAAGTATGCATATAGAATATTTATACAAATATATACATAAATATTCGACACAGTTCTTCAGAGAATAGTACACTTGACATTAGCATTCCTGTAGAAATAATCAATTACCTAGATCAAGTTTAGAATTCAGTCATTTCTTGAGATATTTTCAAAGACCTTGATTTTTGATGTAATAGTGGGAAGCATTTTGACAATGGACTTAGTTTCTTATTTTTCATCCAAATGTTAAGTCTCCTGAGACTCCTTGGCACAGTTCTCTATTTGTAGCCTGGACAAAGAGAGTCCTTCTTCCAATCTGGGTCATCTGCACCAATGTTCCTCAGTGAGACCTTGGAAAACACCTGTGGCACCTTGCTGTTTACCAGCTATGGACCTAGTAATTGCTGTCACTCCCCATGGTGGTGGAATTTATTGACGGTCACCAAAAAAGTGCAAATGAGGATGTCATCCTATCAGCTCCATCTATCTGGTAAAAAGCAAAACTGCATTTCAAAAAAACTAGATGATATTTCTTTAAAAAGGTAAGGCTTTTGTTGCTCTAATTTTTTTGTTTTGTTTTGTTTTTGAGACAGGGTCTCACTAGGTAGTTGAGACTGACCTGGAACTCACTATGTAGCCCAGGCTGGGCTTGAACTCACAGTGATCCTGCTGCCTCAGCCTCCAGAGTGCTGAGATTACAGGTGTGCGCCACCACGCCGGCTGTTGCTCTAATTTTTAACAATACATTTTCTGAAGACAAATTCTATGAAAAACATTACTAACATTAATGTGACTTTTTAAAAAGTTAATCACTTTCCTAGGTGCTTTAAATTTTATGTTAACTCAGTTATTCAGAGTTATAACAAGGCAGTAGTAAACTATGATTAGTGAAATTAAGATGAACGAACATGTATTAAGTAGACATTCCTGTAGCTTTCGTTTTTACCTATTTTATGTTATTCATTAAGACGTAAGATCCTTAGAATTATTTTGAAAAATTACAGACGTAGCCTTTAAAATTTCTAACCAGGTAGTTTGTCTGAGTGGAATATAACTATAAAGTGACTAAGACTTTTTGGACAATGTTAATTGCTTCATCGAAGTAAGCATCTTTGACACGACATTTGAACTCTGTTTTTACAGAACTGGTGATTTCAGTGATGTGGCCATGTTTTTGGTCAAATCAGAGACCCAGAAATATGATAAGCCTCAATGTTAAATGCTTGATATAAAACCGAGGAGCCTGACTCCATTCCAATACACATAACACAAAGGCGCTGTTACAGGAGGAACCACCGTTTCTAAGTCATTTGCATAATATAATTTCCCCCAAGTCAGGACAAGGAACATTTTGAGAGTATGTCTTGAAGATCAAGCACAGGAAACCTGAGGAAACTTGGTTACTCCCTAATCTTGGTGACTGGCCACGTCTGAGGAGCAGCCCTCCCTCTTCTCCACTTTGTTCCGCACCTCTTTGCACACGAGCTGACGAGCTTCCGCATCCTCCTCACCTATTTCAAGAGAAGTTAGCTTCTTTTACACCATTATAGAGGGAAATCCAGAGAGATGAGGAGGGGCGGACTCTACATTGCTTAGCTTCTTTCACTCCCTGCACACCACTGCATGCGTTCAAAGTCAGCCCAAGCCCCTCTTTAAGTGGCTGTGAAAGCTGTTTTCTATTTTTATAGCTAATCCAGGCCAGCCCAGGGATCATACTTCCCTTAACCACAGACCCATATGCCCTGGTGAAAAGCCTTCGGTCACTGCCGACTGGGACGCTCGCCCCTGAGTTCACATTTGATCTAGTGGCCCATATCCTTCTGAGTGCAGCACTTGGCCCATTCCTCAGCCATTGCTCCTCTGTGGGAGGGGCCAGGGTTCCCGTATTCAAAGCACCTCCTATTTCAAGTACCATCTCTTCTGGGGAGAGTTCGTCTCCAGGGAGGGTATGGCCGTATTGTTGCCATATGCTGTTAACGGTGGCTGACACTGCTTTTGCCTAAAAGCAAATGCTTTGCTGTCAGAGAACTGCGATGCAGACAGATCAGATCCTGATGGCTACTAGTGAGCTAGGATATATTTTGCAAGTACCTAAGAAACCCACAAAGATACTTCTTTTTGTTAATGGAAACACATGTAATTGGGGAATATTATTGTTGAAAACTCTTGTTATAGGCCCTCAAGAGCGCCTGACCCCTGACAGTAGAGACAGTGTGAAGGTGGTAAGAGTCAACATGAATCCTGAATTGGGCACTTAACTATAGAGACAGGGAAATAATTTTTCCCTTCTCTCCAAGTCTGCATCTGGGGACACACACTCAATTCTTTCATACTGTAAAAGAA